AATAATTATTGCAGTCAATCCATACAATATCATAGCGTGTGTGATAGGACGGTGAATATTTCATGTTTCGATTAAATGGATAATTGTGAAATTCTATGCTGGATACCTTTACAGTTTATTCTCTATCTAAAATCCCTTCTGATTCTTGAATTCTTAGCAAATGAATAAGAATATTCGTCGAATGGGTTCAACTAATACTCATCATAATATAGACTCACTTAAGGTTTTCATAGCTAAGTTTTGAAAATCACGTTGTTAGATTCCAAAAATTAATGAATACATAAAAAATGAAAATGCTAGACAGAAAGATTGAAATATATGACAAATACATCATACATCTACAGTTTCAATAGTTGATCATTTAAGGTAACGGAAGCAGCAGGACAGCAGAACCCGCGAGAAGCGACTGCTGCAAGATACTTCTATATAGTATGTTTATGAGATCACTTATCACCCTTTTCCAGGTACAATCCGTCGGTAGTCGCAAGTCTGTCCTTTCATCAAGAGATCATTACCTATAGAAATAGAAGCAAACAGAAATGGGAAGGGTTAACAGCAATGAATAAGAATATGAAAACAAAAATGTGACACAGACTAGTTCGTATTGGCAGCAAGCAGGATTACGGTAAAAGTAATTGAATGTATATTCATTCGATGCGAGGATGAGAGCAAAAGACAAAAAGGTCTCACCGAGATTCAAAGTCTGGTGTGATAACCACCTACACTATGAAACCTTTTTTCTCTCCAACTGGGAATCGAACCCAGGTCATCCGCGTGACAGGCGGAGATACTAACCACTATACTATTGAAGAGTCATAGAGCACGTGAACGCTGTGGGATTCGAACCCACGCCTCTTTCGAGATTCGAACTTGAGTCGAACGCCTTAGACCGCTCGGCCAAACGTCCATGCTTGATTTTTTGTTCATAACTGCGTACTAAATCTGTGCACACTCGTTTACCTTCTGGTATCACCTTTTACAAAACATTCTACTCAATCCCGCTTATCAAAGCCAACATAACTCATCACGAAACGAAACGTAAACTAAACCTCTTACCAAAATCAACACTAAATCATTACAATCAACCCAAAAATACCACATTCTGTCTGATTAGACTAAACCATTCATACAATGACAGACCGAAAAACGGTATACTTATGCAAATATCATATATTGTTATAATGCGTAGAAATTGACATTATTCACATGATTGTAAACACTAAAACGCAATGTCACATCTAGAATGATAATTTAATGAACTGCTGGGTATGAACTGCACAAGCTCTGGATATCTTTCCGTTATACCACATCCAACGATCAACTCCTCTAAGTGTAACTCTAAAAGAGGTGAATAGTCATTGATGGGGTTGTCAAATAGATACAAATACTTCAGTTTTTTCAAACTTGTTAAACAACTGATATCTTGAATTGCATTCCCACAAATATTTAAATATTCTAATTGCTGCAAGTTCTTTAGTTCGGTTATATCATTTAGATTTCCAGAATTGATAATCAAGGTGTGCAGATGAATCAATCCAGTCAGATCCGCAACTATGTTCGTTTCATAACCAATTAGTACTAAATGTTGAAGATTGACCAAACTCTTCAATGGAGAAGTATCCCTTAAACTGTTGCCAGATAAATTTAGTGCACGTAGATTTTTCAGATTGTTCAATGCAATAATGTCACGGATTCTATTCCGTGAGAGGTTTAATTCCTCTAACGTGTGTAGATGGCATAGCTCGCTGATATCTTCCAGTTTATTCCCCCGCAGATTGAGAACTTTCAAATTTACACACGCTGTCAACATTTCTAAATTATGGAAGTGACCATACATCAGTTTGATCTTTTGAAAATGAATTCGAGCCGGGAGATAAAACACAACAGTCAAATCATTAGTATCATGTACAACCTCTTCGTCTTCACTTAAATCTATCTCGATAAGACCTGGATAATCACCCAATACATTCAAATCCACTGGCTGGGTCACTCGAATACTTCGTACGCTTGCTTTCAGTAAATTTGATTTTGCTTCCAAATGGTTGTGTATATTCAATACCAAAGTGGCTCTGTGATTATAAACATACTGTAATAGTCCACTGAATGCCTTGCAACAACGTACATATTGACGTAAAGTCCGAATATTCAAATACTGTGTAATTTGAATATGGATATGCAGAGGTAGATCAACGAATTGGTCCATTAAAATAAAAGTAAACTCTTCCAGTCAGCCACACAAGAACTAGTTCTTGCATTGTTCGTTCCGACTTCAGTAGATATACTGTTATATGAAGCTGGACATCACATACCAATACAGTTTTCCGAGCAGTGTCACACAAGGACGGATTGGACGTGAACATTTCAACATCCAAATTAAGCTTCTATTGCGACTTTTCAGGTCTGTACTTTCTCTTCGAATAATCAAAACGGCTATCTTTATCTAAGACCATTTTGAATCTGATCTCAATCATTCAGACAATCTCACTCCCACTTTTCTATCAAATATTTCATCAACTTTAATATCTCCGTCTACATTTCGTAACACATATGGATAGTTACGTACTAAGAGGCCATTGAAATGAATGATTGTATCCCGCAATAACTGAATTAATTCAAGATTACAAGTGGTTATTCACCAACCATTTCCCTATTAAGGCTTTTCAAATTAACATTCAGCGATTCAAATAAATTCTCTTTTTTACACACCCTACTTCAAGAATCTGATCAATAATGAATCAAGAATATATTTACAAAATGCGAGAAAAACAAATTAGTCCCAATCTTCATCACTTGAAAATTGGTTATCGCTGTCTAGATGCGACACTACTACCACTCTCTCCTCTACCAATGGCGAAATAGGTGACTTCGTTGTAGGAGAGTCGAGAGTATTTAAATAGCCAACACTGCTGAGCGTTGAAGTTGAGTGAATCCTGTAACTACTGCTATTTTCGTCGCTGTTAGAGTCTATGGAAAGTGAGATTAGGAATTTTTATGAGTAATTGCTGTTTTGAAAACCAGTAATTGTAAATACAAAAACATGGTAGACGAACAAGTATCAATGTACACAATCATTCAGTGACTATAAAGAAGATAGATTTAACAGTGATTATAAATTAATAGCATACCTGTGGGGGTGAGGGGCAACTTTGGTCTTTTTGTAAAAGAAGCACTTTGATTGCTGAATCTAGTTTTATTGATGACGTCAATTGATCTTTCCAAGGACGCTTCCAAAGCTGCAAATTCCGGATGTTTATGTAACTTTGCAATATTAGATGAATCATCTTTCTTCTTCTTCTTAGGCATTGAGGCAGTCTGATTATCGTAACGTTTGAGAGCCATTTTATCTATAGATCGTTCTAACGATTTCCATTCCTTATCAATAGATGAGTTATTAATTTTTTTGACATTAGCACCTTCAGAGTACCGTTTAGGAGAGAGAGTGGAAAAAGACTTGGAGACATTTAGAGAAGGGTAATTTGGATTATTGTCAATATCATTGGATAGTTTCAAGTGATCCATATCGGACAGA